TGGTCCAGGTGTACTTTCTATAGTCCAGGTGTACTTTCTATGGTCCAGGTGTACTTTCTATGGTCCAGGTGAACTTTCTATAGTCCAGGTGTACTTTCTATAGTCCAGATGTACTTTCTATGGTCCAGGTGTACTTTCTATAGTCCAGGTGTACTTTCTATGGTCCAGGTGTACTTTCTATAGTCCAGGTGTACTTTCTATAGTCCAGGTGTACTTTCTATGGTCCAGGTGAACTTTCTATAGGAGGAAAAACAAAAAAAACATGTTAAGATAGAAATAATTACTAACAGGTAGAGTAGAGCAAGTAAAGACAGCAGCAGAGAGAGGACATGTGGTCAGTTTGTCCTCCAGCAGTCTGAGTCTATAGCAGCAGAACTAAGAGACATCTCAAGAAACCCAAGCCAACCCTAACTATAGGATTTATCAAAAAGGAAAGTCTTAAGCCCAGTTTTAAAACTGGACAATGTGTCAGCCTCATGGACAGAAACTGGAAGTTGGTTCCACAAGAGAGGAGCCTGAGAACTGAAAGATCTTCCTCCCATTCTGCTGCTGGAAACTCTAGGAACCACAAGTAAACCTGCAGTCTGCGATCAGGACATTTTTAATGTTTGCAGTGAAACTTCATTCTTTTGGTATTTATCACTCTTGATGGAAAACATGAAATATTTACTTGATGTTTTTCATCTGACGTCCTGAGAAACGTTTTTATTCAAACACAGGAAGAGTTTTGGTTCTTTTTCCAACAAATCTGCAGCTCACAGACTCACTTTACTGGAAATGATGCTGACAAAGGTTGAATCTGAGTTTCAGGAGATGTTCCAGATTCACACATTTGTTCTTTGAACAGTGATTTTGTTCCGCAGACTGACCAAGACGTCGTTCATCAGGTGTGGACCTCCAAGCACTCAGGTGATGGCGAGGAAGAAACGCAGAGGGGTATGTTGCTCAAATCAAAACCAGATGGGAAAGGTTTCAACGTGCACTGATCGCGTTTATTGTTCTGGTTCAGATCATAGAGAAGAGACGCAGAGATCGGATCAACACCAGCCTGTCAGAGTTACGCAGACTCGTCCCAACAGCTGTGGAGAAGCAGGTGAAAATATTTATGACTCACCTTTACCTTCTGACTCCGCCTAATTCAAAATGGCTGCCACAGACAGTTCATGTCCAATACAAAAAGGCTTTAACCAGGGCAATTTTACAGGTTTTAAACTCAAGTCTCTCCTTCCTGTCCTCTCAACCAGCCGGTCAAAGCAGATGGTCTCTTGTCCTGAGCTGGTTCTGCTGGAGGTTTCTTCCTGTTAAAGAGAGTTTTTCTTTCCACTGTCTCCACTGTGCTTGCTCAGGATGGGAGACTGCAATGAAGCCAAGATTCAACTTGTCTGCTGGATTCCTTAGATAGAGAACTTTACTAACTGGCTTTTATGTGAATGTTCCTGTAAAGTCCCTGAGACAACTTTGTTGTGATTTGGTGCTTTATAAATAAACTGAATTGAAATTCTGGTGTAGTAGTATATGGAGGGTGGAGTGTAAATGGACACTTCAGCATGTGACTGCTGGTGGATTCAAACCCCCAACTCTTGCACTCGAGGACGACTGCTCTAACCACTCAGACACATGTGACAAAACGAAATAAATAAAAACATAATAATTAAATGTATCAGTTAATTAGCTGGGGCAGCACGGTGGGGCAGTTGGTAGAGCTGCTGCCTCTCAGTGAGCAGATCACCCCAGTTCAAATCCCGACCAGGGGCCTTTCTGGGTGGAGTTTGCATGTTCTCTCCGTGCTGCGTGGGTTTTCTCCGGGTACTCCAGTTTCCTCCCACATACCAAAAACATGCATGTTAGTCTGACTGGTAACTCTAAATTGTCCCTAGGTGAGAGAGAGAATGGTTGTTTGTCTCTGTGTCCCTGTGACGGACTGGAGACCTGTCCAGGGTGTACCCCACCTCTCATACAGTGACTGCTGGACATGGGCACCGGTGACCCTCATGACCCGAAAAGGAAGACGTGGGTAAAGATGATGGATGGATGGATGGATGGATGGATGATGGATGGATGGATGCATGGTGGATGGATGATGGATGGATGGATGGATGGATGCATGGTGGATACATGGTGGATGGATGATGATGGATGATGGATGGATGATGGATGGATGATGGATGGATGGATGATGGATGGATGGATGATGGATGGATGGATGAATGATGAT